CTAAAACTAAAATTAAAACAGGCCGCCAAAAACAACACTAGTTTAGAGAGACAAAAAGCTTAAGCTTTGACTGGCACATTTAAAGATGGGTGATGTTCACTTAAAATTCCTTTAACTCAAGGACCTTCAGTTCACACACACCACAGCTTCAATAGATGTCAGATAGAACCAAGCCAAGCCTTTAACAGTAGAAGAGGAAATATATTGCATTACGTAATGCGTGAAGTCACGGACGCGCATCGCAGAGCTAGTGCAAGATGAGCATTTGTGGTTAGAAAGTATATAATTTTTTTTTCCTAGAAAATGACAGATTGTTACACTAGATAAGACTCTTATTCCTCGGCTGAGATTGTGTTGAGCCCTTTGAAACTGCATTGAAACTGCAATTTGGACCTTCAACCCATTGGTTCCCATTGGGGGGGGTTAAATTATCAGGAAATTTTTATTCTGGAAGTGAACTAATCCTTTAAAGGGTCAATCACAATAGTTGCAAATATTCAGTGAGCGTTGATTATTTCCAGTGCCAAATGTAGATGTGCCCAGTTTAACTTTATGCAAATTAGCACATTCAGAATTAGTTTGATTCATGTGTTCATATTCACTGATCTTGATATGATTTTTAGCAGCAAGAAAATCCGATTGTTTATCAGATTTTCTAAGGTTGTGCATGACCACCAATGATTTCAGGGCTACCAGCAGCATAAATGCCAACTAGCACCCAATAAGACAGCAATAAAATCACTGTACGTGTGAATGGGCTATTAGTGCACCTCTGGTATACTTGATTCTGATTGGTCAATTGCAGTAATTTTCAACCAATAAGTTTTGCATAACTGATAAACTGACCGATGCCCCTTAACATTCTATGCTATAGTAAATTACATATGTGGAACAACATCACAGGAAATTTTTATTCTGGAAGTGAACTAATCCTTTAAAGGGTCAATCACAATAGTTGCAAATATTCAGTGAGCGTTGATTATTTCCAGTGCCAAATGTAGATGTGCCCAGTTTAACTTTATGCAAATTAGCACATTCAGAATTAGTTTGATTCATGTGTTCATATTCACTGATCTTGATATGATTTTTAGCAGCAAGAAAATCCGATTGTTTATCAGATTTTCTAAGGTTGTGCATGACCACCAATGATTTCAGGGCTACCAGCAGCATAAATGCCAACTAGCACCCAATAAGACAGCAATAAAATCACTGTACGTGTGAATGGGCTATTAGTGCACCTCTGGTATACTTGATTCTGATTGGTCAATTGCAGTAATTTTCAACCAATAAGTTTTGCATAACTGATAAACTGACCGATGCCCCTTAACATTCTATGCTATAGTAAATTACATATGTGGAACAACATCAGATTTATAAACACCTTCTACAGAACTCCAAGCTGCAAATGTCAGCTTTACACTTCTGTCAGAAATGCCCATGAGGAAAAAGAAGTGTGCTGCTTTGAGTCTGGATTTTCCGATGAACACGAAAAAAATCGACTGACATCAGCTGTGACTTTGGACAGGACAGTATATGGTGAAGCATGATGAGCAACACCATATACTGTGTGTGGGGAGGTGTTAGGCTCTCTGCATGTATCACACACACTCATCCAAGACTGCGCTTACTCTACCTCACACTCTGCAGTGTTGTATTTTTGTATTTTTTTTTGTCTTTATTCTATTTTTATCATGGCAAGTCATGATTAGCAAGCCTTGCATTTTCATTAACATACTTATTCAAATGATGGTCTGTTCGGCATAATCCATAATTATTCCATTATTCCTTCTTACCAATTAAAGAATGAAGACAGAACGTTTTAATGCCAGAAAGGGAAGGAAAAGCGTGTCGCCTCTTTGTCTTTGAACATCTGTGAATGGCATTTATTCTTTGCACACGTGCAACTACAGAAAATTAAATTAAACAATGGCTGCTATGGCCAACCAAACAATTCCCATCCCATTGAGTTCTGAACTCAATTAAGGAAATGAAAGGGAATATATATGTTGCCGTGCAACTGGCCTTTGACAAAGGGGTAAATCGGCACTTAATTTTAATCATGATACACCCTCTTAGAAGCATGAATAAAGAAAGTGAATGGAGGGAACATAAGGAGGAAACAAAATTGGCACAAAGTTTCGCTCTATTCCTCATATAAAGACATAAAGATGTGTTGGAAAAGGAAATGGCTCCAAAATTCATGCCTTTAAAAAGTTCACACATATTCTGGCCAATAAGGACACATATTTTCATGGCTCATAATAAAAGTGTGTTATTTAAAATTGAATTGTTAAAAATTAACTTAAAAAATGTCTAAATAAAAAATGAAATAAAAACTCTAAAAACTACAATCAATCTTTTTAAATGCTACAAATACATTTTAGGCATCACAACATTATAATGTACAGTATTAAAATTAATATTCATTTTGTGATTTGCTAAAGATGACCTTTTAACTGTTGAATTATTAGTGTTATTAAATATTAACTTTAAGTAAACATCAGATGATGACAAAGATATTTCAAATGTTAAAATAGGGAAAGTGAGATTCAAAATTTAATATCCAGTATCAGTCTACTCGACATAAAAATAAATAAAAATACAAATATTGGCCAATAACCAATATGGTACCTATCAAGCTTGCTAATAATTGAATATATCACATTATTACATATCTTATTTTAAGCCTAAAATTAGAAAGTTTTATTTACCAGAACAACAACTGCATCATGTAGAGGACCATCAGTGTGAAGAGTCTCGACATTGTCCTCAATGAGGTAGTCCCACTCCACTCCCATCTCGATGAAGCGCCGAGATCTCGCATCTTCTCCTTTGCCATTGAGAATGTAATGCCCAGTTGCCTGGTATTAACTTGTCTAAATAAAAAATGAAATAAAAACTCTAAAAACTACAATCAATCTTTTTAAATGCTACAAATAAATTTTAGGCATCACAACATTATAATGTACAGTATTAAAATTAATATTCATTTTGTGATTTGCTAAAGATGACCTTTTAACTGTTGAATTATTAGTGTTATTAAATATTAACTTTAAGTAAACATCAGATGATGACAAAGATATTTCAAATGTTAAAATAGGGAAAGTGAGATTCAAAATTTAATATCCAGTATCAGTCTACTCGACATAAAAATAAATAAAAATACAAATATTGGCCAATAACCAATATGGTACCTATCAAGCTTGCTAATAATTGAATATATCACATTATTACATATCTTATTTTAAGCCTAAAATTAGAAAGTTTTATTTACCAGAACAACAACTGCATCATGTAGAGGACCATCAGTGTGAAGAGTCTCGACATTGTCCTCAATGAGGTAGTCCCACTCCACTCCCATCTCGATGAAGCGCCGAGATCTCGCATCTTCTCCTTTGCCATTGAGAATGTAATGCCCAGTTGCCTGGTTCTTGATAGCTGCAATCAGTGATTAATTACAGCTCTTCAACAGTTCAGGGATAATAAGTTAACAAAATGATCTGGATCACTCTGTTCAATTAAGCCATTGTATCAGCCATCGAATAAGATGATTAACTATCAAAACAATGAGATTTTTTTTTTTTAATGTGACGTTTCAATGTCTAAAAGCTTTATTGCATTTTTCAGAAACATGATGCTAGTATTAAATGCTGTTGAACTATATGGCAAGGCTATGAGGATGTGACACACTGACATAATGACATAAGTACATGGCTCAGAGCATGAGAGCGATTAGGTTGTGATTCGCTTGAATGTCAATGGTGATTACAAGGAAAGCTGTGCACACGTCAAGCCAATCACCATTGCTACAAGTCATCAAATGTCACTTGTAATATGAAAAATGAGATTACGTTCCAGAACAATAAATATGGAGTACTTTGTCTGTAATGTTAAAATAATAATGAACAAAATATGAGGCAGGACTGCACAAAAGGTTTGATGCAATGAAATCAAAGTTGACCTTTGATTTCCTACTGTACATGCTTAGCACGAGTAGTTTGTTTTAATTTTTGTCAGCATATCCACAAAATCTTAACCTTACAAATTATAATTCACCCAGGAATGAACATTTCTTCTTGTATGCTATATTACAAACCATATCAGAGTGTTGTATTAAAATTTAAGTTGTTATTTACTAAATATCTTTAAAATCTGACTTGAAATTTGTGATCACCATTCAGCTTGAAAACTCCTGCTATTCCACTTGTGATCTTTAAAAGAAAAGAATGCCCCATTTGTTTTTTAAACATGAACATGATTATTTTTGTGTGAATTATTTCCTAAATAAAAATGGCAAATTTTTCCTGCCCATTTGATGACTGACAAATAAACGGAACTGGTTAGAATGCGCTAAAGGTCTTAATCATAAAATTAATCATAGCAAGCATGATGGGAATCGTCGCAGGTTACGTATGTAACCCTGGTTCCTCGAGGGAACGAGA